TAGGAGAGAGTAAGTTTTAGGCTTGAGTGCAATTAATTCAGTTATGATTTTCTGCTTTACTTCTGACTTGAGGAGTCCTAGTTCCCTTTGCGAGTAGCAGAATACATGGGATGATCTTTGTCGAAATTACTGAAATCCATATAATCTACTAGAGGAGCTTTTGTCATTTCTTGGAAAGCATCTTTACAGGTCAGAGTAAATATGAATGAGTCTGTATCCGTATAAATTAGTCTAGCTCTCTCCCCATAATGGGCTTTAACTACATTATACCAGAACTCGTATAAACGCCTCTTGGCTATCTGTAAGATCTGATATCCCATGTAAGAAGGAGTGGTAACTTTAAGGATGTCTTTCATTACTGTACAGAGAACCCTATCTTGACCTAAAGAGACAGCTCGTTTATACAAAGGGTTTCTTGCATGAGTTAAGAATGAATGTTTTGTCGTTACTAGATGGTGAGTATTAGCATATCGAGATATATTTGTCATTGATTTCCCGTACAGACTGTTACTTATGAGTTTAAAAGCTTTTCCTTTAACTTTACAGGTGGTATTGGCTCGTTCTCGAATGTTGGTTGAAATAAAATCTTTTAAATAGGGAGCCTGATTAAATTCATAGATTGTTTTTTTACTCGTTCAACTTCTAGTCCAAGTTTTAATAGCAATTGCAGGAAATCAAGGCTTACTAAGTAGTCGTTTTGGGGCAAGTGGGATGCAATTAACTTAGTATTTTTAGGTGGGAGCTTACGTTTTTCATCATTAAGGGTTTTCTTACTGTACTCTGACAAAAACTCCTCCGTTATATTAGTATGAGACAGTACAAGGGGCAGATCATCAGTATACCTGGCTACCTCGGGAGATACATGTTTTGTATCGCATAAAATCCAATAGCCTTTGTCTTGATTACAGGGGATATGCTGTAACCCTTGCCCTAATAAGGTATCCCGCTCAAGGTCAGTTAATTGTCTAATCCCTCCCTGGGGAAGTACCTCAGCCATGCACGCTGCATATAAGCTGTTAAAGTCGAGGTACAAAATGTGAGTATCGTCATCAGAGCTAGGGTTAGATGTAGTGTGCTCGTTAACAGCCTGTGTAAATTGTCTAATGGAAGATGTGAACCCTCCTCTAAGATTCCTTCTCAACAATCATATATATTCTGATCATACACAAAGTCAAGTACAACTTTTGATTTAAATAAGAACGCATCCCAAGCATAACTAGGAAGTGATACATAGAAAACAATATCTAGTTCATAATTTCTTTCAGTGATGTTCGCCAAAGTGTAAATATATCAACTAGCATTCCCACGTCAACTTTTAAATATAACATGAGGTAATCCTTGATGTTTGTACAGTTCCCTAAATTAAATACTTTAAGAGCATTGTTATAATCTTCTTCAGACAGTGGAGAGTCATGTAAAACATTGTAAAACTTATCTCGCGAAGGGAGCTGAGGTTCGTCTAACACGTCCATGGAAGAAATATAATCATAACATAGGCTTTGTTTACCTTTAATTAACAGAGCTTTAGCTTCATCGGATACGCCATTTAGTATGTGTTCAGTGTACTTGGTGGCTTTCTTACCGGCAACGTGCTCGCTTGCTAAGGTTCCTAATGACCCATTAAGGAGAGCTAGGCTATCTAGGAATTTAAGTTTACCTATGATGACTTGCATAAATTTTAATCCTTCCTTGGTTAGAATTTCTACATTGCGGTGAGGATTTTTGGACAGTTCTTTAAGTATAATTCCAAGATCATAGGCAGCATTATGGGAAAATGTGGTTAAGTATCTACGAGCATTTTTACATTGTAAATTGCAACGAGCACAATAAGCACCTAAGTAATTATTTTCCTGAATAGCATGATTATGATGTCTATGTTTATCTTTCTTATCCTTGAAAGTTTGATGACACAATTGACACGTATTTTGTCTTTGAAACATTCTTTCCTGTTCTCTAGACAAGTTCTTAGGGAAGTTGGGGAGCTGAGCATGAATAGCTTTCCATGAGGCTTCTAGCTTGGTAATAAAATGATTGACCGCATCTGGACCTACGTATGAATACGTTTCTACGACATTGAATTCCCTGTCTAAAATCATGTAAGCATAAGCAATTGCTTTATGCTTACATTCCACCATGCCTCTAGGATTTTGACGGTCTAATAGACATTCAAAATCGTAATAGGCGGTGTGAGTTGGGCTATAGGTCCTACCGTAATTTTTAAAACTGATTTTATCACTAGGATTATAGAATGAAAATACTTGGGATACAGTGCATGACTCTTCGTGAGCCTGAATTTCATCTAAGGGAGCATGCAAAAGACAAATTTTGCAGAATTTATGAGTGTTAGGAATCCTTTCAGAATGGTGGTTAATACTCTTTACAAATTTATCAAAATCCTTGATCAGACAGAGATGCTTGCCTTCTAATAACAACAAAGGGACTTTATCGGCATACTTTTCCTGGCTTTTCCTAGCTAAACTAAGATAGTATCTGTTACTTTCATGAGTTACTGTATAAATATAAATAGAAATTTTGTTAAGCTTCTCTATTTTCTTAAGATTATCAAATGATACGGGGAATCTGATTTCATCTGCCCATACTACGAATCTTCTACACCATCGAAGGTTTTTGTAACACTTTCTAACGTTATCCATGGTCCTGCCCATTGCTAAGTTTTTATACGCCGCAATGCACTGTAACAAACACTCATCTCCTTCACTTTCAGGATTAAATACCGATTCTTTACCCTTTAATTTTGCAGGATATGGTACGTAAGATCCAAGGTGCATAGGGTGGCGAATATACGAAAAATTAATGGCAAAGCCTGACATGGAATGAATTCCTACACTTGAGGATTGGACATTTTTTAGGCATTCGTCAATTTTAGCAGACATTTCGTCAACCCATGAATTTACAAGAACTTCCACCTCTTCCTGTGTAACAATCTGAGTTTCGCCTCTAATTGAAAATACTTCGTCTAATATTTCATATTGATTGTCGGCATGATTAAGTTTTTGCAAAATTAGGCTTACATCAGGGTAAATGTGAAATGAGGGAGGGAATTCTTCCTGTATTTGTCTGAACTGATTGTCTATATATTCTATAAAAAATTCCCTATACCTATTTATATATACGCTGGGGTCAGCGTCTAAATGTCCGGGAATGGAGAACGAATGTCTCGAGAAAGAACCTTCGAAATGGTTAATGACTTCTAACACTCGCGGAACAACGTTATCTAAGTTAAGTACCTCTGGGGAATCTGGAGCGTTGACTTCTTCATCTGATATGTCGTGAACAGGGGGTTGATTGTCTTCTTCTTCATCTGAAGATGCATGCTGGTTGCCGTCTGGTGCATCTTCTTCTAGCTCCTGGGACAGCTGGGGTTGACTGCGTACAGGTGTGCTCCACTCAGAGGGTTGGGTTGAATCCAGGGGCGATTCTGTAATATAATATTAGCAATGAATAAACATTAAGAGGAAAACACATTTGAAACAATAAGAGGATTTGAAAACCTTAATAGGAAAATATCGTGTAAATAAGAGGAATTATTATTAAGAGGAAAAACAAAAAGTTTAAATAAGAGGAAAAACTGAATTACAGATAAATAATAATATTACTTACGAGCTGGGATGTTGATTCCACCAAGTATGAGATTCTCTTGATCACGAATAGGAACTCCTGTAATGGAAATATTTTTCTGTATGAGTACTTATTACTTGTTTATACACTTGTTAAAAATACAATTATTAACTTTTAAAATTACGAAAATTATTGTGAAAACGTACGGTTATTTATGATGCGACGGCGTTTGGGTGGAGGTTCAATGATGTTTCTGGCTTCGGTAGGAGGTTCCCGGTTAACGGAGAAACGACAGTATGGGCATGAAGTAGAACCATGAACTGAAATGAAAATAATATATATATAAATTGACTGTCTGTATGTATGTATGTGTGTTTCGGATATATATTTTCTTTGAAAGTTTATTGAATGTGCGAGAAAAAGAGGTACTTACGATTTGCACAATAGAGTTGCCCACAGCTGGTACAGGATACGTCAAAATGTCCAGGCGGTGTAGGCCCGTTGCATCCTATACAGTATAGTCTGCATTCTTGAAGAGCGTTGATGGACATTTCACCTAGGCATGTTAAACATCGTGTTTGACACACATGAACGATTTCGTTGTTGATAGGAGACAGGCACAGAGGACACACTGACATGATGATATGACTATGCTAGGGGAACCTTGTGAACAGGATGAAGATTGAATGTTGACTGAAAGTGTAGGCCTCCGAGACTTTGGCGATCTGAGGGGGCCCCTGAATGAGCGTAATAACGATAGTGTGCCCCTGAGTGAGCGTTTGGCTGTTTTATTAATAGCGAGAATGATTGGCGAATACTGGGAATAAACTCTTTTATTATAAATTGTGTAAACTATGAATTAGATGACTAAATAAATTATAAATAAATAAATAAATAAGTTTTATTAACGCTTAATGTATATATATAAATTATTACGGTGGCGAATGCCGACAATGACTGGTGGATGTCTGGGGCAGGTAATCAGGTGATGATTGCCTCGGGCAGATAGCCTGGGGCAGGTATCTGGGGTCAGCTTAGATAGTCTCTGAGGCAGTTTTCAGTATTAAAGGTTACATTGAGATGCTTCGGTTTTGTATAAAACTGACTGGTTAATGAAAAAGGAATAAAACATTAGTATGTCAGAAAATAGGAAGAGGGAATAATATGAAGAGGAGAGAGAGAGGAGGGAGAGAGAGAGAGAGGAGGGACGGTCCAGATATTATGGATAAGATAAGATAAGATTAAGAGCCGACTGGCTGGCTGGGCGCAAAGTAAATAAAGGTGACGCGACAGATTGCGAGGTAAGGGGGGGGAGGGAGGGGGGTGTGATGTACGAAACCACGACTTATACAGATAACTTTCTAAATTTATATGAATAACTAAGGCTTACATAGACGATTTTGTAAGTTGAAAACATGTAAAACATGTCCGTAGAGTTCTCCTGGAAACCCTAAAGCGCTACACACGTTATTTGAATTTCTCCCATAAGGACATAACAAACTTCTAAGTCTCGGAAATTATTTTTCTCATAAGAACTTTAACAAACTCGTATGCCATTATTTTTCATTATAAGAATTCCCTAATTCCAAATCTGCGACTCCCCAAATTTGCTGGAAAACCCTGGCGGTCCACAGACGAATTTCTAAATTTGCCGGAAAACCCTGGCGGTCCACAGACGAATTTCTAAATTTACCTGAAACCCTTGGGGTCCACAGACGAATTTCCCCAAAAACAAAAATTCGTCTGTGGACCGCCAACCCCACTACTTATTCCATCCCTCCGTCCTATCCCAATCCCCCTAATCCTCAAATCCCCGCTCCCCTCCCAAGTGCTACATAGTCACACTTGCGTAGATAATATAATAGTATTAATATAATAGTAGATAAGTGCACTTATCTACTATTATACTTATCACTTGCGTAGATAAGTATAATAGTAGATAAGTGTCTGCAGATAAGTGCCGCAACAGTACACATCGGTGTAGCGCAAGTTTCGGTTCCTAAGAGCCTCGTTTCGAGCACTTTCTTCGGACATTTAGACGTCAGGAATCGTCAAGACGTTGCTGGTTCAGTGTCCAACTTCTCCTCTCCCGGGTAACGGTTAATTCCTGCCGCGCAGTAACGGTAACGATCCAATTCCATTTTTTTGTTCTCTCTCCGACGCGTTTCCGCTCTAATGGCTCTGGCCAATTAGGTTCGGATCATTTTTTTGTGTGTGTTTATGCCAGAAAGTTGCTATAGAGTGTTTGGGAGAATTTTTGTTTGGTTACATGTTAATTATCACTGCATACAGCGTCTTGTCTCTATAATCCCTTGAACTTCCTCCTGTTGTACCCATTGTCCCTATTCCTATTGTACAACTAACATATATATATATATATATATATATATATATATATATATATATATATATATATATATATTAGTCGGGTTCGTGCTCGACACACAATCGAGAATTCCGTGTTCGAATCCCGGGTGGGACAGAAATTGTTCGGCACATTTCCTTTCACCTAATGCCTCTATTCACCTAGCAATGTAACAGCGAAAGCGTCAATATGACAGTGCAAACGTGCATATTACAGTGCTTTAGTTTCTACCAATACGTCGTATATTGAACGAAATAATTTAATTCCGTAAAAAAAAAAAGTCAACGCGTTGAGAGGACCGGTTGGAATGGACACTGTCCAGTGTCGGCGTTCGAGGCCGGTCTCCGTTGGCCTCGTGGATGAAGTAAATAACATATGGGAGGTCGTAAGTATGATGAATACGGTGCTACGACCTCGTAGAAACCGGGCCTCGTCGTATTCGGTGTTGTAGTTTGTGTATTGTATTTCCTATTGTATTTTTGTGATGCATTGTATGTGTTGTACTTCGTATTGAATTTTCTTTTGTATTTTATAACGAATTTGCTGGTGTATATTGTGGTGTATTTAGTATTATCTGAACAGGAACTTTATGTTTAATAAGGAGACTGTACTTCCTGGTACAGAGGTCTGTGGTACAGAGGTCTCTGGTACAGAGGACTGTGGTACAGAGGACTGTGGTACAGAGGTCTCTGGTACAGAGGTCTCTGGTACAGAGGACTGTGGTACATAGGTCTGCGGTACAGAGGTCTCTGGTACAGAGGTCTCTGGTACAGAGGACTATGGTACAGAGGTCTCTGGTACAGAGGACTGTGGTACAGAGGTCTCTGGTACAGAGGACTGTGGTACAGAGGACTGTGGTACAGAGGACTGTGGTACAGAGGTCTCTGGTACAGAGGACTGTGGTACAGAGGTCTCTGGTACAGAGGACTGTGGTACAGAGGACTGTGGTACAGAGGTCTCTGGTACAGAGGACTGTGGTACAGAGGTCTGCGGTACAGAGGACTGTGGTACAGAGGTCTGCGGTACAGAGGACTGTGGTACAGAGGTCTCTGGTACAGAGGACCGTGGTACAGAGGTCTCTTGTCAAACAAAACCATTAATACGGAAAGCATTTCCGCTACATATTTCCAGATATGTGGGTTTTGATGACGGACTTTCAGCCACGCTATTGTGACTGTCTGCGCAAATACGCTATTTGCAACGCTCTAGTTACGCTTAAGAGTGTCTGGGTATATATATACGCAAGGTTGTGAAGCGACTAGAGGCTTTGAGAGGTAATATTCTCACATCTAATCTCGTTTAGAAGGAAATCCATAAATACAGTTTTCACAGACGTCAGTTTTTTTAATCTTTCTTGTACCGTTTGACGGTCCATGAGTGTGTGATGTGTGGACAGGGATAGTGGGAGGGAGGGGGTGGATTTCCTGTCCTAGGGACACCCTGGGAGGTGTTAGAGGTCGTCCTTCTCCTCCCACTACTGGCAGTCGCTCCAGTTATCATGGGAGACGGTGACCCAGTTTCTCCCATGTTGCAGTTATACCAAAGAAAAATGTGTGTGTGTGTGGGATTCTCTCTCTCTCTCTCTCTCTCTCTCTCTCTCTCTCTCTCTCTCTCTCTCTCTCTCTCTCTCTCTCTCTCTCTCTCTCTCACTCACTCACTCTCTCTCTCTCTCTCTCTCTCTCTCTCTCTCTCTCTCTCTCTCTCTCTCTCTCTCTCACTCACTCACTCACTCACTCACTCACTCACTCACTCACTCACTCACTCACTCACTCACTCACTCACTCACTCTCTCTCTCTCTCTCTCTCTCTCTCTCTCTCTCTCTCTCTCTCTCTCTCTCTCTCTCTCTCTCTCTCTCTCTCTCTCTCTCTCTCTCTCTCTCTCTCTCTCTCTCTCTCTCTCTCTCTCTCTCCTTGAAAACTTTGAAATGTATGAATGCATCTTTGGGGTCGGACTTCGGATGGACGTGCATAGCCTGAGGACGGGCTGTTGATGATGAGTGTTGCAGACGAACACACGTAGAACAACACGTGTGTTCACCACCCGTGAACTTTGCTATCACGCAAGGCATGATGTGAATGTGTAAATAAATAAAACAAAATATCGAATGCAATCAAAGTTATTTTTATAATCTAGAGCAAGGAAACAAGATTAACACAAAATCTGATCATTTTATTTTTATTGTTTGTTTGTTTGTTTTTCTTTGGTAGAATGATGAAACAATTACAGGGAAAAACATTGTAAAACTACGTGGAAACTTTATTTTTGTTTAGGGGGGAAACAAAGTTTTTGATGTGAGAATTGAAGCAGAAAAAATGCTGGTGTAAAAGTTGTAATGTGTTGAAGAGGGAAGGAGGAAGAGATGGATAGAGTTAAGAAGGGAGATGGATAGTAGGACAGGGAGGGAGGGAGTGAGTGAGTGTCGATGGGAGATAGTGTGAAGGGATGTGAGAGGGAGGTAGAATGTGGGAGAGGGAGAAAGAGGATGTGATAGAGAGGGAAGGAGAAAGAAAGTGTGTGGAAGGGAGGGAGGGAGGGAGAGAGGGAGGGAGAGGGGTGTAAGAGGTAGGGAGAAGGAGAGAGTGAGAGAAAGCACCGTGTTGAGGCAGCGCCCACCGGGGTTCTATCACTGCCGGGGCCCTGTCCCTTCTGCCTGGGGAAGATATAGACACATGACCGGAAAATAAGATTCGTAAAGGAACGCATCACCGTAATATAGCGGAAAACAACCACGATATAACGAAATTATATATCGAACCATCCAGCGATATACCCTGAATATACTCCAGGTCCAGAGTTAACCCTCGGTATATTTAAATACACCGAACAACGGTGTATATGTACATATGTATTTATGTATGTATTTACCAGGCTATGTACACCTCTCAGTGTATATAACCTTGTCAATAAGATTTTTGTTTCTGAATTTACTAGAGAAGAACATAATTAGATGCAGGATAAGAAATCTATGTAGTCAGTGAAGAGAGGTCTATTTGTCTATTATGTCATTATCAGAGAGGAAGATTGCTTTTTTTTGTAAAGAATGTAAAAATAAGCTTAGTGACCCCCATCCCCCCCCCCTTCCTCTTGTCTTGTATGTACAAGAATGTAAGAACTCTTGTATATATC